TAATTTACAATGGCAAAACAGAGGATCAATCTTTTAAATCACAAAGCTCTCATCTATAGTAATTATCTTCTGTTTTGTTTCAGAAGTTGGGGTCAAATGGGATAACCTTTGGACACAAGCCATTCTTGAGGATAACCTCATCTTTGGCTATATATTTGGAATGCTGTTACTTGATGCTTTCTTATATGGCCTTGTGACGTGGTATATAGAAACAGTCTTTCCAGGGCAGTATGGTGTGCCCCAACCATGGTACTTTTTCCTCAAGGTGAGTTCTAATGCTCATATTATAAATGGCATAGCCCTCAACAAACCTAGTTTTATTATTTATAATAAAAGCAAAAGCTTCTGTACAGAATAATACTCTATAGACCAGTCTTATTGAAATTCTATCAATTTCTTGATGTTTTCCACACATGAAAATGTACACCAATATCTAAGAAACTGAAACCCCCAACATTGTCAATGGTGAGTAATATTTCTCTTCAAATCAAAAGTGGTACACAGTGGATTAGACTGGAGGATACAGACACCTAAACGCCTCTGTAAAAGGAGTGCTCAAATAAAGTATATGTGATGGTTTCTTAGACACTAGTCATGAAAGGATTAGATATTTCTTTCATGAGATCACACTACCGCTTTCCTATCCATGGTAGCCCAGTTTACTGGAGGACAACATCTGTGCCTTGCTCTTCACCTTCTTCCTTAACAGTACTGGGGAATCTGTGGTGCAAATAAGATGCTCTGACTCAGTGTGAGGAAGGGCAGTGGCTATGCCACCTTTTACCTACTGTGAACAATGCTGCTGTGTACATTCGTGTAGAAATAGTTGAATACTTGTTTTTAATTCTTTTCATTTCTTTTCTGGAGACTCATATGGTAATTCTGTGATTAACTTTTGGAGAAATACAAAGCTGATTTCAAGGTCTCTAATTTCTCTATATCTTCTTAGTATTCTAAGTATTCTATTTTTTTAAATTAAAGCCATCCCAGTGGATGTGAATTGAGATCTCACTGTGGTTTGATTGTCATTTACCTCATAATATTGGACATTTTTCTATGTGCTTGTTGGGTGTTGGGATGTCCTTTTTAGGAAAGCACTGCCTTTCAAGTACCATGTCATCTTTTAAAATTAGGTTGTTTATATATATATTTTAAACCTTTTGTTGGGTGAAGGTTTACAGAGCAGATCATCAGTTTTACATTAAAAAATCATTTACCTTTAGTCTTGCCTTTCCTTGCAATCCCATTCTCTCAATATACCATCATTCATCTCACTTCCTGTTTATATTGCCTTTTCTTTCTTGACTCTTTCGAACGTTGTCCTTGAGTAAATGTTGGTCTTTTGAACTCAAATAATTGACCATTTTAAGGTGTGCAAACCTCACTAGTGCTGTTGTACCCTTTATAGAACTGCTTATTGGTTCGCTGAAAATTGTACCACAAAAATGAGTTCGGTTTCAGAGGGAAGGGTGCATAAGAGCCACAGTCTTAGTGTAAGTCAGGAAGTGTTGCTAGTAGAATTCCAATTCATACATGTGTGGGTGATTCCAAACAAAACCTATTGCAACATGCCCTTGCAATCAGTGGATAACTACAGACACGTTTCCTCAGTGATACATGTGTTTTAGTCTCCTTGGGGTGCTTCCCAAACAAACGTCCAATCAAAACAATGGCTTCTCTAAGGATCTGTTGTGCCACCGAAATTTCAGCCAGAGAGATCAACTCAGAAGGCTATGGCAATTTATTATTATTATTATTATTATTATTATTATTGATGGTATTCCAAAACAATGATCTTAGGAAGACATTTTTAGAAAATTGAAAAAAAAGAAAATTGAAAAAAAAGAAAATTGAAAACTTGATTAATGAGGAAAAATGCTAGGAAATTTACACTGAGGAATTTTTGTCCATCTCATTAATGCAC